TAAACTAACGGCAACTGCCACAAAATTGACCAGTCCCAAAATCTATCCAGAGCCCCCTGTAGGGTCAGTGGACCAATCGGATCGTCTATCGTGAAGCAGTCATCCGCAAACATTAGGGATGGCACACCCAATTCATCAGGTAAGTCATTAACGTATAAAGTGAAGAGAAGGGGGCCAGAGTACAGTGCTTTAAAAAGACCTATATGTAAATTGGTCGAATTTTTCTGATCAGTGAAGCTAGCAGTCCACAGACAAGAGCATCGTAAACGCCTCTACGAATCCAACATACTGCTCATGCGCTTGCTTCGATTTGCAGAAGTACAATTCAGATATCGAGGAACCACGGATCATCTTTACTTCACTGACATGCAGAAAAGGAGGTTTACCGGAGCCAGTCTAAACAAATCAGCATGCAATTGACCCCAACAGAAAGAACACAAATAATACGCATACCTATGACTGCAGGTTTGGAATACAAATCGGTTTTGGTACGGTTTTATTATGACAACGTTTCGCCCTTGACGCAAGAGCTTCTTTAAGTCAGGGCGAATCGTTGCCATTATAAAACCCTACGAAAACCTATTTGTATTCAAAACCTCCTGAAATCATGAGATCCTAGACAGTTCTAAGCATATTCCGAGATACTGAATACGCATACCCAGTTATATGGGAAAGTAAAAGTGAAATACATACCAGAAAAGTCTAAAGAAGAGGCGCATAAATGACAAGTCCGTATGGTCTGCCAGAAACAATCGTATCGGATAACGGATCACAGTTCGCATCCTATCAATTCGCTGAGTTTTGCGCACACAATGGAATCCAACTCATGAGGACTGCACCGTATCATCCCCAATCAAATGGGCAAGCAGAAAGGTATGTCAACATCCTTAAACTGCATTGTTAAAATGGAAGGGCGAGGGAACTCTGGATGAAAAATTAGAAAGATTCTTGTTGAATTATCGAGTAACTCCGAATCCCAATGCTCCAGATGGGAAGTCACCCGCTGAAGCCCTCATGAGCCGAAAACTGAGAACCAGTTTAGATCTGATGGCTCCAAAACGCCCATCGATACGTCGTACTTATTCGGATATGGAAGCCCAATACAACAGACGGTACGGAGCACGGCGCAGAAATTTCAGAGTTGGAAACCCAGTTCGCTGCCTCTCATCGAGGGCATCGAATAAGCTGGATACCAGGTCAAGTCGTGGGACGACGAGTAAAGTAATTTACGATGTTCGCGTTGGTAGGCAAGTATGGATTCGTCATACCAACCAACTGCTACCGCGGTTCGCAAGGACCCCAGAGACACGCGACCCCAAAGGATTTGATTTAAATGAATTGTTATGCACTTTGCACTCAAGCACCCCGACCGGACAGGATACGCAACTCGTGGAACGGACTGGAAATGAACACCAACTAAGGCCACAACGGGTAAGAAGATGCGTGCAACCCTTGCAGGTCGATCCCCGAAGGAAAACCTATACAACTACCGGTCTAACTATTTCAACAAGGGGAAGGTGTTAGGTCAGACCAAAGCCAAATGCGCACAGAAACGAAACAAATTGACTTGTTCGGGAAGGCAAGTGCGCAATTTCCCCAAGTAACCGTGTGCCTTGTATCAGAACAGTCTCAGTTACAAGCAGACTAGTGCTTTTCTGTGTTGCAGAACATTTGGTACAATCGCTTGTTTCATACCACTCACACGTCCCGTGATTCTTTGTGATCGATAAATTCAAACCAGCACACAGCCGTGTTTTGAACTGTAAGCAGTGTGTTTTCATTTCCACATCGGTCCGTTCGGTGTTTCGCGAATATACTTCTCGTCCGGTGGGTTATCTTCTGACTCGGGTGGCGCAATCTAAGAAGCTGCTAAGTCCAACCCTTGAGGACACAACAATTGCCCTCTTTCTTTCTGCTCCCCTTCATTCTTCTTCACTATTTTTGTTTAATTTCATCACGAGGACACTATTCGTCGCACCTTGTTCCATTACCTCAGTTTACGGACTTTGGTTCGTCTACTAAGCTGAACTGTACTGAGCCACCGGGATTGTCAAATATCGACCCCGCGGCTTGCGCGTTCAAGACGACTTTGTCCTGGTACCTTTTGGTGCGAAGGGGTTATTTCCCTTGGCCATGCACATAGGACGACAGTGCAGACAGTTCTACCCTGCCACAGCCTCTGTTAGTTTCTTGTGTCCGGATCTGTTAGTCAGCCGTAGTTCTTGGATCTTAGTTGCTCACGTAATGTGGCCTATATCTTGTGACTCCCGCACCTGCAATGACGAGGCGCGCGGCGAGTATTCGGTGACGATCATCGCATCAGCTAGTAAAGTTAAGTTAGTTACGCTGGTCCTCGCATGTGCTATTCGTTACTGCTCACTATTATTAAGGAGCTTCATGTCGTTTTCTTCATTTGCCCCATTTAGACCATTTATCTTCGAATTGATAGATTTTCATCCCCACTGCTGAAACAACTGTGCAAAATATAAGAACTGGCTTACAAATGCGAACTAACAACCTGTGTCAAATGTCTATTTGTGGATCTAAAAGCTGGGAGTTAAAAGGTTCAATAGTCTATACATTAAAGCCGTTTTAGGAATCTGCAGTTGCCGTGACCTATAGAGGCTCTTAAAGCAACGCACCGGAAAATATTCTAGTTGCCGACTCGATACTGTAGATGTGGTCAAGTTTGACGCAGATTTCAGCTCATCATCAGCAAACACTTTCTCCCTACGTCCTTTCCTTATAATTGACCCTCCCACCTTATTTGATCATCTCATTGTTTACAAGGAACTCACAATACTGAAGCCAAACAAGGCTAGTAGCCCCGATTCCTTGTCCTCAATCACTTTAAAAGGGTGTGCTAATGCACTAGAGTAACCTCTGGCAGGGATTTTCAACCGATGTTTAACGACTGGCACAATCCCTGACATCTGCAAAGAAGCCAGAATAACACCTGTGCTTAAGTAGGGATCATAAAAGTATTGTCCAATTGCGTGTGCCTCGGTGATGCTGAAGGACCTTGAAAAACTATTAGTTCCCCGAATCTTTACAAACAATCATAAGACTGATATCAGTTTGCATACAAAACAGGGCACCCTACTCTGGATGCCGTTTCATGTCTTGTGCATTCCATCGCATCTGTTTTGCATTTAAAAAATGCAAGACTGTGCAACTCCTGTTCCTTGATTATATTAATGCCTTTGGGAGCCTTGACAGATCGCTACTACTCCATCTTTTGTACGAAAACGGCGTTCCACCACACCAATGTTATGTAATACGTAACTATTTTACGAATCGCACACACTTAACACAGTTATGCGGCAAAGATCTTCCACAGTCCAAGCAAATTATGGGGTCCTACAAGGATCTATTCTATCCCCCTTTCTGTTTTCCCTCTATGTTGAGTCTCGGCCCATACCAACCAGTTTCATCAGGTGCACATACGCTGACAACCTCGTCCTAGGGTGCATAACCCCAGGATTAGACGAATATTTGACTTGATCAAGCCCACGTTCCCTTTCATCCCTTCTAATTGTTGGGATATCATTTTCTTTTCTCCGCCCCGACAGATTGCTCATTTTTAAATGCCTCTCCTCCTTTGGTTGTGAGGGATCAAAGCATCCTTCACTCATATTCCTTAAAGTATCTCGGTGTTTCTTTGTCCAATAAGTTATCCTGATCGACGCATCTTCTCGAAACTTTTCAAAAAGTCAGATGACTATCATTTTACTCCCTTAGGCTGAAAATGCTCTCCGTATTGCGTGCTCTAATTCTAAGGTTTGTAAATCCATTTATTCTCCCCATTGGCTGTAATGCTCCCCTGTTATCTTCCCCGGGCTACTTCAAAAGGATTATACTCTTCTTGTGGGATCACTGCAGTTTATTTCCCGTTGCTCTGAACTAAGCAGAGAATCCCTCATTGATTTTGTGGTCAGTAAGTATTTTGACGCATGCGTTAACTTCGCATCCAAGATTCTATCATACCCCTCTGACCCCATACATACCGTTTTATTTAGTTCGCAATCCATTTCTTCAACGCGGTCAAAATTTGGAGTTTTGTTGTCCCCTACCTCTTCGTATTGCAACTCTATTTTACCTTATCTGTATTACTTCTTAGTCGACCCAAGGGTGATGCTGCAACAATTGCGAGAACGTTTACATGCTTAAAAGCGTCAATTCGCATTAATTTCCCACCGATTTTATGTTGTAGTATGTCCGCAGTGTTGGTGTCATTGATGAAAATGCTCCCACAGTAGTGTATAAAGTTTATCTTGACTTGACTTGAATGACCTACATTACGAAAGTGGCAACACTACTTCTTAGCAGGAACTAAAGTCGCAGACTAGAGGACTCAGTGGCTGGTTATTTGTTTTAGCTCTCAGCTTGAGTCTACAGCGCTTACGAAGTACTTGGCTCGAATCCTTACGGATCATGGCTCGTTATCTGTACCATTGATAAATTTGCATCAATCTCTTAGTAGAATCTTTCTTTTAAGGTGTGTACTGTGTAGTTGTTTATGGTACAAGTGTCAAAAACCAAAAACGAGGCTCTTTTCAGATGCCTGCTTCACTTAGCATGTTAATTAAGCATTTATGGCCCTGCAACCTTGATAAGGTGTATAGAACTTGATCTTGACTACTTACACATGACGCTTAGATCCTACCTTAGCTCAGTCTTCAATTTTGTTTTTCCACATCGTAGAGCTACATTACGAGCGGATGTGCCAATATGGTTGCGGCTGCATCAATGATTTGGACGATAGGCCGCCTGACCGCATTCCGCTTGTCTGTGGTATTTTGGGGTCGCCTGCCGTAAGAATGTCACTCGCGACATAACATCTCCTTTGGTTTCCCGGTTAGATTCCACCTGTTGACTGATGAAACATGTTTTGTTTGCTACTACTGTCCTTGGTACCGTAAGCGCGTTTCTTCAATTCGGACGAAACCTCACTTTCACGTTTTCTCACCGTTTTGTTTTCTCTTTCTTCTTCATCTCAGTTGCCTAGGGCTTGGCAGGCCCTTCATCCTGAAGATTGAAAACTATGAAGCATCATTAGAAAAAGTTATTTGTTTGTACTCCGAGAAGCACGGTAACCGCGGTTCGAAACTAGATGTTACGTTGTCACCTTCAACCGATAATCAAACGTTGTCGAACATAGACCTTCTCAGCTTAGCCACTCTTGTTAACTCCCGCGCGGGAAACAAGCTATTTATAAGAGACTTGCAGGTCAGTTTGCATTCTATTCCATCGCACTGACCACCTAATATTTAACATTTTTCGTTAACAGTTGCTTCACCACAATCTTATCAAGATCATTTATGTCGTCTATCACATGGCTTTCCAGTGGTATTTTATGTCCGGCTGACTATGTTATCCTTTTGCTTTTAACTTCTGTTCCATCAGCTAGACAAAAAGGGTCTTCTGGTCCATTTTATACTTATTCCTTGTCAGATGACCGCGTTTCACTAAGATATCATTCATCAGTCAGGTTTGTTTCTTCAGTCGTGAATAAAGTCCACAGTTCTGCCCTTAAGGGATGACAACGCTCGGTTTTGCTTCAATCCAGATTCCACTGATCTGCTACAAGAGAGCGAACGAAAATTTTTTGATCTCCATTCGCTCCACTGTTGTCGACGTTTCGCCAACTATTCATGTTAAGACTAGGGGTCAGATTACCATATTATCTCCTTGGTTTCCGCCCAACTGTGCACTCTGTCGCTCTGATGCATTTTCTGTCATGTTCCAATTGACAATACGCAATAACTCGGCTTCTCTTCCAACCAACTCTTCAAATTAAATGGAAACGAATTTATCAACTAGTTGTTTCGACCCTTAGTCGGAACGGACGAACGTTCCTCAAAGATAATACTCAATGCGCGCAGAGTGACCAATCGAATTCGGGATGTTGCGACCTAACTGCCAGACGTACTGGAGAGCTGAGAATGGAAAGGAAAAACCCGTAATCTACACAGTTGCACTTCGGCCCAAAAAGAAAGATGGGACGTTTGCAAGAGTTCTTTTACTAACTCATCCAAGGCAAGCTATGCTTTCTACATCTTCATATTTATCACTTAATATAATAGCAGTGTAATTCATAAACCATAGAGGAAGGTGGATGTTGGCAACGCACGTTACCCATGGGTGATGCCCTGAGGGAAACTCAGTTGGTGTCGGTGTGGCTTTATGTGTTAAGTGCCGCAGGGTACTGAGGAGAACACACATGGTTCAACGCGGTTTGGCACAATGCCTACATTAGGGTAATAAGGAAAGTTCAGTGGTTTCACTGCAACTTACACGGTAGATGCATCAGCATCCTGTGTATAGCTCAGTTGATTCAGTGTGGTTTGTTATCATTGTTCTGAGCGCGGCTCCGTTGTTATTTGCACAGTCTAAGGTGTGCATGGGTGGTAGTATGGCTGAGGTGAGCCCGGCGAGATCTGCACAAGCTTCGCGGAGCAATGCAAGCTCTGCCAAAATCACCATGTTCAACGAAATCCGTTGTCAAATTGCCTCTGGTTGTAGAGTTGCTCATATGACATTGACGAACGCTGCTCTGTTCTAAAACTTCTGCAGTTATCATAAGCGCTCTCGGTGAGCTTATAGTAAAACGACATCAAGCTGTTGTGCTCGCGTGTTCTTCTGGAGCCATGATCGAGCGATTTCTGTGGGTTGAGTTATTGAATGCTGTTCCTTAGTACCTTTTAAGTACAGTTTCCTGTACCCGATTCGTACGATATCGTGGTTGCACGTTCGGCTCTCTTGAGACAGCTACATATGTTACATTCATTGCGCTCGAAATCTGATGCTCCATATTGAAACGATTCTGTATAATATCCAATCATGGACTGTGTACACTTGCCCTCCTGTTGATGCTAATTGGTCATACCTGATTGGCGTGCCTGGCATGAATTCAACCACTCGACTTCTATGCATGCAAGACAAGTTTGTCCTCCACCGCGGTCCTACGATGTGGTAGTTCACGACCGAATCGTGTGTGTGCAACCAATGAAACATTAGTATAGAATGGTTAAAAAAGCAAAAACTGAGCAAGGCTTCTAGGTTCCAAGTACTGATAACCATGTTAACGAAGAATGTATCATCAAAATTGTGTGCCCCTTTGTGTGCTCACCGGGATGTTCACACGATAACCTTAGCATTTGAAGTACACCCATTGGATGTTTTCTGTAGCATGTGAATAGATCGATATGTCGTCAAGTGGTTCTGTGAACACGGTACAATTGGAGGCGGAAGCAACCTACGCAGAGAGGGCTTTCCACGGCTTGCTAACTTGACAGACTATAAATCCTCATGACATTCCAGGCGGCTCTACTGCTTGGCCAACTTTAAAATGACTACCTTTCGCCGTACGTGTGGTTTGGCTTCTTCAGGATCGTTCGAAGGCGTCAATATCGATTACCATACACTCCTCCTCCTCCTCATTAACATTACGCATTAGCTAACGATCTGACACACCTCTACTATTGTGCCCTCATACAAAAAGACAAGGTATATGAACTCGGAAGGTAGTGAACATTAAAGAATAAAAAATAAAAACCAAAAAGAGAATAATTTAACGCCCATTATCATATTATGCATTGATATGAGATCGTGGTTAAGTGGGAAGTTAAGCGGGAGGGGGTGGGGCAAGTACATTCACAACACAAACGCTATTGGGGCCGGCTCTTCGCCATGTTAACAAGTGTATGCAACCAAACTTGTTCATCCTCTTTCAAGCACCAGCCCAGCATTCGGGTGACGCCGACTGACGCTAAGGTGAGGCTCTTGAGTCCTCTTGACCAACCATGGAGGTTAAAAACACGCTTTTTGTTTCTACCTAACATTTGCAATATGCCGTAAATATTATGCGAGACCATTGCAAACATTTGTACATGCCAAATAGGGCATGTCTCATAAACCCGAGAATATACCTGTTTATTGTTACTATTATTGTTGTTTGGCCTGCTATTGTTCCATCCACACCGCTGGCGCATAAACAACGTGCGACGCAGCACTCGATGGGCTGTCATGTGCATTGTGGCACAGCCATCGGAGCCAGGTGCGTGAAATAACGGTGCTGAGTGGTTCACTCGCTCTTCTTGCACCAAATACACGATGCCGTACACGCTCATTGCTCATGGGGTGTCCCCACCAGACATTCCAAAATTACAAACGCAGCGTTGTCAAAGATAACTATCCCCTCTACATCTATCGATCTGATGGGCCAGTTTTCGCAACCGTACAAAAGTGTTAAACGCACGGTTGCACTGCCCTTCAGGGCGAGGGTGATGTCGTTCCGATGCCGCAGGCCGCGAAGAGTTGCGAAAGTGCCTCAAGCTTTTGCTATACAATCCATGATCTCATCTTCTATTCCACAGGCGCTAATGCTTGAATTTCTGAACGACTCCTACGTGATCACTGCTAAGGGTCAGCGCAGGGGTAGGACCTTCCCAACCTTGGAGCAAAGCTTTTCAATTCGAGTGCAAAGCGTAGCCCGAAACTATTCACAGTCATCGCTAATCTGTGCAGTGCTGACTGGCACCTTTGAAAGCTGTCGCACATAATGGTAATATCGTCGTCCTACTCAGAGTTGTACATTCGATTACCTGGAATCAACTCCAGTTGACTTCCATCTATGTTTTAGGGCATTTCACAGATCTAGAACGTTCCTAGATGTGTTTGATTGTGGAGTCTCGGACGCCACTAGATATTTCCCCTGTCAAGGATGTCGCAGATTGATGGCGTGTTCCACGTTGGGTCTCGCTTAGGAGTAAAGCATTTCTAGTCTAATGAGTCATAGTTACCAAGCGCTCTGCGTAGCAGGCTAACATGATAATTGTCCGTTTTCAACGCTCTCCCTGATTCTTTTGAACAACTGGTCATTTTGAACCAGTATTCAATCAACGCAGTTCAGTGAAGCTTTCTTTGGGGTTTAGTCTCCAGGTTCTTGTGCACACGCCGATTGATAACGTATATGAGCCACCTCACATTTATCCACTTCAAAATGGAGCGGACTCCTCACCGACCATGCAGTCCACGTCAGGTGAAATTATGATCGATACTGCTACTAAATTGCTCGCTACATCTCCTCGTCGGTGAAAAGCAGAAAATTCGACATTACGCTTGCCAAGTTGTTTGTAAAATTCAAATATTCACGGGTCCGCAACGATGAAGCCTATGGAACACCGAATTCTACCTCCATCAGGTTGGAGCTATCCCGGATCACTCAAGTGTACCCTCTGTTGGCGAAGAAAGTTGGTGATCCACCCAAAAAGTGAATCCCCGATTCCATAACTCTGCAGTATGTGATCTAGAGTGCGGTGATACAGCCGGTCGAAAGCTTTGGGTAAGTCAAAATACACGACATCGTTCTCTTCTCCACCATCGGCCACTTCCGTCCAACTACCGCGTGCCATCAGCAGATTGATGATGAATGATTGGTTTTGACGAAGTCATACTGCTCGGGAGCCATGACGTTGCATTTCTATCGGTTGTCCACTAAAGGCTCCGCGAAAACACTTCAATCACCTACGAGAACACAGGGAAGAGAGTTACCGGGCTCCAGTTTTCTGGGTCCGAATTAGTGCCGCCTTTAGAAATTTACATGACAAAGTCCTGCTCCCTCATAATCGAGACTCGTTGTTCATCTGAAGGCCTTTGGAAAAACCGCCTCACGGGTTCGACTAGTTTAGTGGCCGCAGCTTTCAGTGCTTTTGGGCGAGTTTAGTCGACTCCCGGACAGCATTTTCTTCAGCATTTTTTGTTCAGCTGAAGCTTAGATGTGTAACTCCTGTATCCGGCGAAGTTGATGACAATATGACAGATTGCGAGTTCGAAAATCAATGCATATTTTAGCCCCAGACCATTAGCTGCTTCGTCAGCGCTTTGTACCCCACCGTTTATGGTGAAAAGTATGGGGAAATGTCGAACTTTACCTTTCGAGGACTGCTGTTACGCCCGTACAGTAGCTTGCCGTTAGGCACAAAAATTTCGGCTAGGCACTGAGGATAATTAACGTTGCCTTCAGGCATAACTATGGTACAACTGATGGCTTAGCGTACACTGCTACATCACTTACTGCCATACATTTCCTAGTCATGTTTCTAAGAAATGACCACGCCATTGCCAAGGGGTCTAATTTCTGAAGGTATTTGCCATCACGTTAGTGAATATTTCAACAAACTATGTCCTGCCACTGTCAAAGGAACAGCTGTTGGGGAGCTACCAAT